CTACCAAACCGCTATATTAGCAACCAGCCGGCAGCCCGAAAAGGAATTCATCTATCCAACCGTTCAATCCAACAGCTGTCCCTTTGACTAGGCTAGACAGCTACATCGCAGACCTCTGACGAACCTGTCTTCGCAAGCCTTCCAAAGCCGACAGCCCAGTCGTCAACTGACGAAGAACCCGTCCGTACGAGCCTGTAGCTACAGACAGCTTCTTCATCAACCTACGAAGAGCCCGTCCGTCAGACCCGACCCTCGCGGACACTCTCTTCCTCGAACCTGACGAACCTGTCCGCTCGAGCCTTCCAACGCGGACAGCCACATCGTCAACCCACGAAAAGCCCGTCTGTTGCGACTGACCCCTCGCAACAGCTAAATTGCGCACCTTCGAAGAGCCTGTCTGACCGCTCTTCCCTCGTCAGACAGCTCTCTCGTAGGTCCACGATAACCCTGTCCGACCCGCTTTCCTCCGTCGGACAGCGAGGCCCTCCACCTGCGATACAACTGTCCTATCCACCTTGCCAAGAAGACAGCTGTATCGCTCAGAGCCGAAGGGCCTGTCCGACCCGTCTTCCTTCGTCGGACACCTACAGCGCTCGGAGCTGAAGGGTCTGTCCGATCTGTCTTCCCTCGTCGGACACCTACAGCGCTCACAGCCGAAGAGCCCGTCCAACCTCTTCGACTTCTCAGACAGCCTCTTCGCGTTCCTTTGAAGAGCCTGTCTGACTTCTCTTCTTCCGTTAGACAGCCGGATCGCGCCTGTGCGAAAAGCCTGTCTAACCCCTTTTTCCTTCAAGACAGACCTATCGCCAGTCCCTGACTAGCCCGTCTGTCAAACCCGGCCTTCCTAGACAGCCTCTTCGCGTTCCTTTGAAGAGCCTGTCTACGGCTACCGCTAGCTGCGGACAACCTCTTTGTGTTCCTTTGAAAAGCCCGTCTAAGATGGACTGCCTCGAGAGACACGAGCAGCAGGCCTACAGACGTGACCGCAACCGTCGGACCTGTGGCTCTTGCAGTCAGCTGTATCCTACAAGAAATACCCTTTTTCAGCACCTTAAGAAGGGTAGTTGCTTTCAAAAGGACCCTTGGGGGGTTGATCCGACCCATCGCACGTATTGGAAATACGGGTCTTTTCAACCCTTCCAACAACAGCTGCAACAGCCACTTTCCTTTCCTCCTTCCTTTAATCATTGGATTCATCATCCGGACCGTCCTATCCGTCGAAGACGACCTGGCCCTGATCATATTAGCCCAGGCCTGCGAGAATACGATCAGTGGTCGGTCGCTAGCTTCCACGGTCCCCGGCCTAGCCGACCTGACCCTGATCGTATTAGCCTAGGCTCGCGAGAATACGATCAACGGTCAGTCGCTAGCTTCAGGAGTTACCGGTCTAGCCAACCTGATATTGATCGTATTAGCCTAGGCTCGCGAGAATACGATCAACAGTCAGTTGCTAGCTTCGAGGACTACGGACCTTACGGTCCCGACGTTGATCGCGATAACCGTGGCGGTAAGGAAGGCGATCAGCAGTCGGTTGATAGCTTCGAAGGCTACAGACCTAATGGTCCCGGCGTTGATTGTGATAGCCGTGATCCTTACGGATACGATCAACAGTTGGTTGATAGCTTCGAAGGCTACAGACCTGACGGTCCCGATATTGATCGTAATAACCATGACAACGGAGAATATGATCAACAGTCGGTTGATAGCTTCGAAGGCTACGGACCTGACAGTCCTGATGTTGATCGCGATAACGGTGTTGATGAGGAATCCGATCAACAGTCAGTTGCTAGCTTCAAAGGCTACAGACCTGATGGTCCCGATATTGATCGCGATAGCCGTCAGCCACACGAATACGATCAACAGTCGGTTGATAACTTCGAAGGCTACGGACCTGAAGGTCCTGACGTTGATCGTGACGGCCGAGATCAACAGGAATACGATCAAGGCTCCGTTGCCGACTTCGAAGTTGACCGGTCTGACGAACCTAGCGTTGATCGCAACAGCCGCGATCCGCGAGAATACGATCAGACCTGTGTCAGCGTATTCGAAGGCTTCGGACCTGACGGACCTGACCCTGATTGTGATAGCCGAGATCCCCGGGAATACGATCAAGGCCCTGTCGCTAGCTTCGAAAGCCACGGGCCTGACCGACCCGGCGTTGATCGCGATAACTGTCATCCACAGGGATACGATCAAGGCTCCGTTGCTGACATCAATCTGGCTGAGTGGTATAGCAGGATAAAGGAAGAATACTCTTGGCTGTTCGAAAGCCAAGAGCCTCGAGGATACGATCGAGATCCTGTTCCTAGCTTCGAAGGCTACGAGGCTGAAGGACCTGACTTCGATCGTGCCAGCCGAGACGGGCCAGAATACGATCGAAGCCGGGTCAACAGCTTCGAGGGCTACGAGGCTGAAGGACCTGACTTTGATCGTGCCAGCCGAGACTGGCCAGAATATGATCGAAGCCGGGTCAACAGCTTCGAGGGCTACGGACCTGACGGTCCTGACTTTGATCGCGATAGCCAAGTTCATCGAGAATAC